GGTCACCAGTGTGTTGCACTATTATTTCTGGGGTCCATGGGCTGAAAAGTTTGGGAAACTTTCATTTAAAAGATGCTGAGAAGGATAACCAACCCAGTCTCATAACAAATTCTCATATAGTGTTTGGTAAGTGTAGGGTGGTTGTGCAGGATCTCTGATCTTAAGACAGAGATTATGATTAAAACATCATGCTGAAGAAAATCAGAGCTTTTACAAACATGACCTGAAGGTAGATGAGGATGGAAGGTGGTGTTTAAATTCAGGTCTAAGGCTGTTGATACTTTTAAAACATGAGGATGATAAATCAGTTTTGATAGTAATCAGAAGACAGAAGTCAAACCTTTATGGTTTGATTGAAAATTAGAAGTAGATTTTAATGTTTATCGTAAAAGGAAGATTTAATGAAAGGTGCTATTTTAGAACTTTAATATCAAAGATTAATATTATCATAATGTACTGTCAGAACTAAATTATTATTACAGCAATCACATGTATTATCAAAGGGATTATTATTATCATCAAGTTATTATTATTAATAAAATAATTATTGTCATCAGAAATTTAAAGCAGTTTTTAAATTATTTCATACATAAAGAGGGAAATTAACTGACTCTAATGGACCCTAAGTTGAAATGTTATTTTGTCCCTCAGTGAAATCAATGAATTGACTAATTGACCACATTTTGGGAAGTTTAATTTTTTTAACTCTGCAAGAAATGACTTTCAGGTGAAGAGAGTCAAGAAATCTGTTAAACAGAGAATATCTTTAACAACGTGAAGTACTTTAAAAGATTTCAAAGAGACTCCAGTGAACAACAGTGAGAAAGTGTGGGACAGTGGTGATGCTTCCAAGGAGTGATCAGCCTACAGGATTCCTGGCTCCTCCAGCAGGTCAAAACAGAAAAACATCTAAAGCACCAGAGAGCCTCACCTATGCTCAGACTTGATGATTGAACATTCAGAGAATTACAGACTAAAATAGCCTTAATGAGAAAAATCCACAAAATGGGCCAAAGCTGAGCAACAGGAATACAACCGCACTGACTGATAATCTACCAAAATAAAAATTCCCAAGTGTCTGAAGAAAAATATGCTGTGGACATCTAGGAAGGTGCGTGGGGTTACGTCTGTGTTTCCTTACTGATTGGTGGACAGATGAAAGATTGAAGTCTGTATGATAACCTCTTAATTGTTTTTATTATTTTGTTACCTTGTCGAAAGGTTGTGACAATTCAAGAAGTTATTCTTCTCTCATTTATTGTTCTGTTTTTATTGGAAAAAAATCTCTTTATTTTCCCACAGGGATATGATGGTGCTACAGCAGCAGAATCATAACAGCAAAAATAGTCACACAATGCAGACCTCAACAGAGCTTAAAAATAAAAACATATATATTATTATATCGTGCAGTCACCCGAGTTTTATACATTATATCTTAAAGTGTTGTCTTTATTGATGAATGACTAAAACAAATCAATTCTTTAACTAGCACTTCAGGAAAATATTATCTTACTGACAGTCAAACATGGTGGTGTCATGGGTGGTTCTGGTTGCAAAAAAAGCAGAGAGAGTATAACGTTAGAGATTGAAGTAACACATTTTACAGAGTGGGAGAATAGAGATATAATTAAGCAAATTATGAAAAAGGGGTCCCTATGTCCTCCAGCAGTCTAAGCCTATAGCAGCATCACTATAGAGATAGCTCAGGATAACTTGAGCCACTCTAACTATAGGCTTTATCAAAATGGAAAGTTTTAAGCCTACCCTTAAAAGTAGAGTGTATGCCTCATGGAATAAAACTGATAGTTGGTTCCACAGGAGAGGAGCCTGATAGCTAAAATATCTGCCTCCCATTCTACTTTTAGAAATTCTAGGAACCACTAATCATCCTGCAGATTGGGAGCAAAGTGCTCTGTTAGGAACATAAGGATTAATCTTATCTCTGATATCAGATGGAGCTTGGACATTTAAGGCTTTATAAGTGGGAAGGAGGATGTTAAATTCTATTCTGGATTTAACAGGAAGCCAATGAAGAGCAGCTAGGATAGGAGAGATATGATCTCTCTTTTTAATTTTCATCAGAACTCTGGCTGCAGCATTTTTTGATCAGCTGAAGCCTGACTACAGTTTGTGGACTTCCTGATAGTAAGGAATTAAAACAGTCCAGCCTTGAAGTAACAAATGCATTGACAGATGAAAGAAGGAAATTCTAGAAACCTATTTGATATGAGATTTAAATGACAGGTCATGGTCAAAAATAAAAACACAAAAAAATTGTATAAATAAAAACATCAATATTTTTTACTTTATTATCTGAGATCAGTTTAATCTCATCCAAATGAAGTGACTGCTGCATCAGCTAAGACAATAACTTCTGTTTTGGCTGCATTCAGGAGCAGACATTCCTGTAATCTATGTAATGGGTTAGCTTCATCTGGATTTATAGACAGATATAGCTGAGTATCATCAGCATAACAGTGGAAGTCAATCCCATGCTGTCTAATATTTCTACCGATTGGGAGCATATATATATATAGCAAAGAGAATTGGTCCTAAGACTGATCACTTTGGTACTCCACTGGTAACCCTAGAGCATGAGGTAGATTTGTCATTTATGTAAACAAACTGAAATCGGTCAGATAAATAAGATTTAAACCAGTCTAGCACCACTCAATTAAATTAAATAACCTGGTTGGAACTGGATCTAACATACAAATTGATGGCTTAGATGAAGACGATAGTTTTGCTAACTCTGAAAGTTAAACTAGAAGTTCAACTAGAACTAGGCTACCTCAGATGTTGCCTCACCTTCCAGAGACAAACCAATCATAGTTTGAAAAGTGCTTGTGATCTTATTTTTAATACGATCAATCTTATTTAAAAAGAATCCCATAAAATCATTGCTGCTAAGAACAGGTGGGATGAACAGTTCAATAGAGCTACAGTATTGCTCATCATGAGTTTGGCTACTGTATTAAAAACATATCTAGGATTATTCTTATTCTCCTCTATTATTGAAGAGAAATACGCTGCTCTTACTTTACGAAGGGTCATCCTATAAAGCAGTAAGCTAGGCATGTGGAGCGCCATTTTCTCTCCAGTTTCCTAGCATTTTGCTTCAGAGTGGGCAGCTCTACATTAAACCTGGGAGCCAGCTTTCTATTTTTAAAGTTTTTCTTTTTCGAAGGCGCTGCGCAGAACAAAGAGAACTAGCAACCCCATCAACAAGCACTGCTCAGCGACATAGAGGAGAGATAAAGTGAAACAGATTGTTTAAAATTTATACCTGCATTATCTGATAATAATCTGCTAAAGTGTAACCTTATTTTGGAGGAGGAGAACTCTTAAAGTAATCCTGAATGTTGTTAAAAAGTAGTCATAGGGGACAGGGTTGTGAGGAAATAATGTTATTTCTTCACATTCTAAGCCATACGTAAGCCCAAGGTCCAAAGTATGAAGATGAGAATGTGTTGGAGTATTCACATTTTGAACAAAGCCAATAGCATCTAAGACAACATTTAAGACTGAACTTAAGCTATTACCTTAAATGTCAGCATGGATGTTAAAATCCCCCACTATGATGACCCTGTCAGTATTCAACACTAAATTAGATACTGTAGGAACTCATATAAAAATTCCGAGTAAGGACCTGGTGGAAGATACAAAGAAAACGAAGAGGTTTTCTGGTATTGCAATTTGGACGAGGGAAACTAAGGGTTAAATGTTCAAAAGAGATCATCAGTAGCTGCTTTTGGAGTAATCAGTAAGTCAGACTCAAAAGATTGTTGCTACTCCACCTCGCCCAGAATTTCTGGGTATGTGAAAATTAAAAGAACTATAAGGAGTTGCCTCATTTACGCTCACATAATCCTCTTGCTGCAGCCAGGTTTCTGTAAGGCAACATAAATCACTGTGATTATCAAAAATCGAGACTTTAACAAGCAGACTATTTGAA